TAATTAATTTTTTATGTGTTCTTATTTTTTATTTATATTGTGTTTTCATAATGTTTTGTTTTAATAAGTGATCTCCTTAATTTTGAAAAAAACAAACACGTTTTCCAAATCAAATTAAAAAATGTCATCTACTACTTGCCTATATCAAAATCTTTATGTAAAAAAACGCCATGAATTTGTAATTGAATTTCCAAAAAAAAAACCAAACGTACATTACCAAATAGTAAGCGAGCTATGTATGTAACTAGAACTATGACTTAAAATGGTTTCCTAATGCTAATGAATATTATCAGGACCGACCGAACTTCAGTAATACAAAACAAAAAAAAACTATTTAAAGACATATTTAAAAAAAATATAATACAAAAAATAAAAAGAAAAGTAAAATGTCAGGCTTCATAACTTAATGCTAATGTAACTACAATAGAAAATACACAAAATGCAAACAAATAAGCAAAGAAACATACCAACATTTCCCTTTGAGTACACTTGAGAACGTATCAGCAAATAATATTAATCTAATAAAACAAATTTAAAGGTAGTTGATAAAAATTATGCAACTCTGAAAATAAAAAAGATAACTGCAAGAGTTTGCTAAAGATTTGTACAGATTTATAGCTAATATGACTGAGAAAAGTAATATATATATATAAATATATGTGTGAAAGAATCAAAGAATGAATCGAAAGATCGGAGAATTATCAGAATTAAGAAAATATTAAACTTAGCAAAACTGTATTTAATTAAAAGAAACGTAATTATTTCAAAAACCAGTAAAATGCAACATTCATACACAAAAAATTATAACAATTGAAATTGTGTTAACGCTGCTTATATTAAAGTTTATTGAAACAATTTATTTGCAACTGTTGCTCAATATTAAAAGCTATTTATTTGCTATATTATTTGCATTGGCAGTAATTAAAAACAAGAAAATTGCTAAATAAACAAAAAGTGATGAATTCGAAAGTAAACAGTTATCGATTTAAAAGAAATCGATATGGAAATGTCTGCTTGCTATGGCACAATAACAATCAGCTGCTTAAATGTAAATAAAACCATGTGCTCAGTTAAAATTTTAGTCAAGCAAAAGTCTAGCTAACCACTTTTACGATTTTAAATTTTTTTTGTTTATTTAACGAATTATTATATTTAAAAGGTGAAGCAGTGTTGCAGAAGGTATAAAACTAAGAAGCAAAGAAAACACCACACAAATGTAGGCGAATGTATGTAAGTTAGGCCCCAATCTCCACGGCAGAGTATAGGATTCGTAAGGAAAATGGAAAACCAAAATAAATGAAATGGCTAGAAATGTAATATAAATAATAATGAAAACAAATGATACTGAAAATTAGCGAAAATTATAAATTTATTAAACAAAATAAAAACAAGAACTTAGCAAATGACAGTAAAGTAGGTATAAAACAAGGTTAAAAAACAAAAAGATTAATAAACACGTAAAACAGTATAAGTATAAGTATAAGGAAAAAATATCACAGATATTTTTAGTGCAATATATAA